TTTGTCCTTTAGGTGAACATATAGCAAGTTTCCTTCTGGCAAGACAAACACTAACCTCCCACCATAGGGTGTCTCAAAGATCGACACATCATCTGGCTCTTTGTTGGTAAACACCCTGAATAGAACAATATGTGGATGTTTGCTTAGACCAGTATATTCAGAATGCATGTATGTACAGTACTTGCATGTGTATGTATGGTAAAAATATGAAAAACCTCACCTATAAACTTCTATCACAACATGAATCAAGTCTCCTACATATGAATTGACCAGCCTGTTCTCTGTGTCTTTTTCTGTCATGAAGGCATCATCGACATAAACGTGACATTCAAAGTCAAAACAGTCCTTGTGTTCTTCTTTTGGGTCACCTCGATAGCGATCCAACCTGAAACGACAACAACACGCTGACTAAAATATTGTATATTTTCTATGACCTCTGAAATGGGTTATTCTAAGCAAGCAAACAAACAAACAAACAAACAAACAAACAAACAAACAAACGAACATGACCAGAAATATGAAAACAACAATATAGGTTTAAAGCATTACCAACCTGGACACATTTACTGTACTTTACATTTTAAGCTCATAAACAAATGCAGACAAGTTAAAATGATATATCATCAATAAAACAACATTTTAAAATGCTTGTAAAATTGTAAAGGCTTAATCAAAATAAGTTCAACCTATATTGAAAATGTCTTGCTCTCTGCAATGGCAGAATCTTTTACCTGAACATGGAAGTAAGAATCTTCAGCATTTCGTCATACGTCTCATGCCACATGGTGGCACAAAGATAGATCACACAGCTCTGTAGTTCATCTTGGCTATGAGGAAGAGAAGGGAGTGGGACTTTTAGCAGAATCTTTGCCATATTAACTGCAATTAACTTGCACATAAGAAACATCTATAAATACATTTTACTGTTTAAAACTCAAATCCAAAAAGCTAATAATCATCTTTGATATCATAGTGATGTCTTTATATAAAAGTCATGCTTTGAGATGTTTCAAAATATGTGAAATAGTTTTGAAAAACAAAAACTTGAATCCAAATCTCATGTTCAGTCGCTAGTTTTGTAACAGCAATTGTTTCTATTTAACCCTTTTCAGACATGGACTCCTTCCTGCTTCGCTGATTATATCAATGGGCTGATTTCATCAATGGGCTGATTTCATCAATGGACTGATTTCAAGTTTAAAGAAGCGTTCCTATCACAGTTTTTTTTTTACAAGATCCCATAATACTTTCAACTTACTAATTATCACTAAATGAGATCTAAGCTTGCACATCCTGAAAGTGCACATGTTGTTGTGTAAACATTTTCTAAATGGAAAAATACTATCAACATTTACAGGATAAAGGCATCATCTTAGGTTCTCATCGTATGTCCAAGAAATGCTTTGCTACATATTTTTCACATGCCATATATATATATATATAATATTACAACAGCAAAAAAAAAAAAAAAAATTAAAAATAGGAAAACTGTTCTTGGACTCCTCTTACTTCTCATGTGCTTGAGCTTTTGGAAGCTTCATCTTAGTGTTGAGTAGTAAAGACAAGTCGATGAAAGCAGATTCATAGAGCCGACGAACAAAGAGCTGAGAGGTTCTTTCTATACGCTGGACCTAGATTGAATGAACAGAAGCATCAGGGTGAAAGTCTTTCTGTAACTTTGACTTGAACTATACTGTTGTCCTAAACTTTCACGTCTTTTATGAGGCTTTAGTTTATTCAAGGGAATTCTTTTCATAATTTGGGTGAAACATGTTTTACAAAAAAAATAAAAATGTATGTGTGGATGTGTGATCATATCAATACCTTGATCTTCCATACATAGTAGGTACATGTGACAAAGCCTGACCACATGCACAGCCCCTCCAGTGCCAGCATAAGAAAAGGCCATTTCAAGTAGTGGCTGTCAGTCAAACAACCCATGAAGATTTTAAACAAAGAAAGCACAATCAGTATACATGCAAATATCTATTAAAATTATACTAAAAGATTGCTCAATGCATATTTGTCAAACATATTATTGGCATTACACACTAGTTAACAAACATCAAATATACAGAGCATAATATTCATTCAAGAAGTGTTAGATGTAGTAATGTAATTAATAATGTAATGTAATTTCCCTTTGGGATAAATAAAGTACATTTGAATGAATGTAGGCCTGTCACGATAACAAACTTTGTTGGGCGATTAATTGTCTCAGAAATTATTGCGATAAACGATATTGTTTGAAATTTGACAGTAATTAGTAATTATTGTCCAATTTAAGAAGACGTTTGTTAATTTGGTTTGCGTGTAGTACCTTTTTGGATAGTGAGGGAGTAAGCAGTGTGTCTCTAAGAAAAATGGGAGGGAGGCCCCTTGACGTGACATGGGCTGTCTCTTTCCTTTTTTCGGTTCTCAAAATGGCGGACGCTTGGTGTGGTTTGAGCTCTTTAGTATACCAACAAAGTTCATGCTCTTTACTATAACATTTTTCACACAAAGCTTTTGATAAAAAAAAAATCAGTAAACAAGTTCTCAGTTTCTTTTTGCAGAAAAAAAACAACTTTTTACACAAAGGCACGGGTTTCAACTGTGAATTTTTAAGCTTCGACAAGACGGAGATTTTTTCCCGAGGTCGGCCTGTTAGCTTAGCTCGTAGCGTAGCTGCTTTTAACGATCTCGCAAAAACGCCATTTTGGATGGCTAAAATGGATTTTAAAGAGAAAAGAGAAAGGGAGGGGCCAGTGAAGAGCACTGGAGTTGCACCTTTTGTCATCCAGTGTCCAGTAGAGAGAGAGAGACACGAAGAAACAATTAAGCCGATAAACGAAAATGAGGTCAATAATTGTCATTTATCGTGCGATTAATTGATTTATTGTTTATTGTGACAGGCCTATATAGATGAAAAACAAAAATCAGATTTTTCATTCATATCCGCTGAGCTAACACACCTGTTTAGTGACGTCCGACAGATGCTCCAGGTCATCTCAAGTAAAGGCACAGATGTTGTGTTAATGTTCTTCAGGAGCGTCAAGCTATCACAAAAGTCTGTCAAAAATTAAATATACTGAAAATGAGGCATACTGCATGTCTCAGTCACAGAGATACTAAGAACTGTTCCTTTTAAGATTGTGTCGTTTTCCCTTTGTGCTCATAATGAGAACATCTTTTGAATTAAATTAAGGATTCTTTAGTGATTATATTACTGCACTCCTATAAGACTTTCTCAGTCCCACTGATAAGTAGTATAGAAAACACCAGGTGGTATAAGATTGTTACAGGCTAGGACCAAAGTACAAATGAATGCAACCTCAACGAGTCATCTTTATTGCAGCTAGATAGATAACAGGTAATGTTCTTTGAAAAGTAGGAGGAAACTCAAAATTGATTGTAAAATAGAAGCTTTATTGCTAGCTAAACCAGTTTGCCACAATAATCTCACAAAATCATTCAAACACAAACAATTCTCAACAATAAGTGTTAATAAAAAAATAAAATAAACCTCACCAGTGATATCGTCTGCCTCTGTACCATCCAGTTTTTTTGCCTGTGTTAGGAAGATCACGAGTCCCAACCCAAGAACCGTAGGTCCCGTGCAGCATAGAGGTATAGCAAA